TCTCTCTCTCTCTCTCTCTCTCTCACACACACACACACACACACACACACACACTCTCTCTCTCACACACACTCTCTCTCTCTCACACACACACACACACTCGGCTCTTACGTGAGATCTTGGTGGTGAACTGTGTGATGGTGGGGGGTCCGTATCCTTTGACGGTGCTGGCTCTGATGGTGAAGGAGTACGTGGATCCGGGATACAGAGCCGTGAAGACGTGAGACGTCTCGTTACTGAGCTTCAGCACCTTCCCGCTCTGATTGGACAGATTAAACTCAGGGTCGAAGGAGCTGACGGCCTTATAGAAGATCTGCAGGAACACAAACACTCAATTATTTATGACATAAATATTAGCATTCTCATTTGTAGAGTAAAAAAATTATATAAATATTATTGTATTTTATTTTACAGTACAGTAATTTGCTACAGTAATATATTGCGTCTTTATTTCTATAAAAGTTAAAACAATAATAATAAAAAAATAATACAAATAAAATAATAATTAACAAATATTAGTATTGTAACTTGTAGTGTAAAATAAAAGTATAATATAATGTACTTTTATAATAATATATCAATATAATGTAATTTTACTGTATTTAACAGTAAACAGTTAAAACATTAATTACAATAAAATAATAATAATAATAATAAAAAAATAATAATAATGTAATGCAGTGTATAATAAAATGTAATATAGCAGGATAATTTATATTACAATAATATATTAATATCATTTATATTTATTTTATGGTATAGTTGCAATTTACAACAGTAATAAATTTTTGTCTTCGTTTTTCAAAGAGTTAAAATATAATGATAATTAAAAAATAAGAAAATAAAAATAATTAATATAAATTAGTATTGTAACATAAAATTCTTATATACATATATAAAATATATAAAATGCAATTCTTATATACATATATAATACAATTGTAATTTACACAAATAAAATATTTCTATTTGCATTTTTATAATTAGTTCAAATAATATGTTTATTATTATTATTATTCTTCTTCTTATTATTATTATTATTCAACTTGATTGGGCTCCGAAAACACAAGAGTGAATTTAATGTGGACTTACACAAAATAATACATTTAATTCCTTATTAAAGAGTTCATTTTAAAGTCCAGCCACGGTCAAAATAAAACATTAACTAAAAAAAAAAAGAAACATTTGATCTATGTACTTGCATGTCATGTGACCACTAACAGACATCAGAGAAGCGGGAACATGAGAATGTTTCATGAAATTATTTAAATATTAACTTAAAATCCCAGGCGGGCTTGAAGTAAATATTTAATGTCTAAGGCGTTGGGCTGACAAAAAGGGTTGTGAATCCCTGATGTAAAGAAATCAAGTGTTTGTCTCGAGCTTCAGAATGCAATAACAATCAGAGCGGATCGTGCAGAATAACGAGGAAGCGTTTCTGTGTATGATCTTTTATTATGATGGAGGAGCCTCACTTTTGTTCTCCTTCATTCTCTTCTGCTCGAGCGGGAGGCGAGACAAGAGCGAGACGCCCCGCGCTTCTAATATAACTTAATGAGAAGTAGCTGAGGGGCTTGATTTGAATAAATCATTCAGCTGCTAATGTGCGGCGCGGCTAATGCCACTCTATTCAGAGTCCAATTTAAGGCCACAAAGAGAGCGGCGATGGGACTCATCAGCTGTGAAATATCAAGTGGCTCTTTGCTATTAGTCTAAGACAGGTAGATGGATCAACACAGGAAAACGACCCCGGAATACCAAATCCCAGGAAATATTCCTGATAAATAACAATGCACAAACAATTCAGCAAGCAGGAACTGTGCGGCACGAATGCACAGGAAAATACTGCACTTATTAAACATCCAGTTCAAGCTGTAAAAGTCCTCAGAATTCAACCATCATTCACATGTGTGTTTGTTTAGTCAGTATTTTGGCTAATTTGATGATGATTTCAGCTACTAATAGGTGTTCCGTTGAACATATTTACCATGTTTACAGGGAAAGTGTGCTGTTTCTATGTGGTACCAAATGGAATTGCAAAACAAAGTCTATATTTTCAAGCATGTTTCAAACACTCAGCAACCATTGGTCGGCCAAACAGATAGCTTGGTCAAAGCAGGGGTTTCCAAACAATGCAAAAAAAAGCTTTTTTTGTCTTGTTTCCAGCCAAGATATCTAAAAATTCTTAAATCAAGAAGGATTTTCTAGACAAGTAAAAATGGTCTTGTTTTCAGAAAAAAAAACAAGTCAAAATTAAGTGTTTTTCCTCACTAGCTAAATCATTTAAAACAGAAAACAAGATTATTTTGCTTGTTTAAAAAAAATCTAAGTAAGAAAAATCTTTTTTTGCAGTGAACTGGGGTGCAGGGACCCCAGTTCACTTTAGTTAAGAAAAAACTAAAATAAAATAGTACTCTAAATAAATAAATATGATATTTTAAAAAATGAATGAATAAATAATAAATTATACTAAAATAATAAAATGAATAAACATATAGTCAATAAATAAATATATTAAAATAAATTAAAATAAAATAAAATAAAAAATAAAAATTATATTAAAGGAAAAGGAAAGGATGTGACGTGTGTATTAAAAGAAATAAATAATATTAAAAAGTACATTAAAATAATTTGATAAGCAATACAAATTATATTAAAATAAATAAATAAATACCCCTAACAATAAATACAGTAAAAAGAAAAAACCCTACTGTAACCTACTTATTTTTATAGACTATTTATAAACTGAATATGCATAAATTGGTATAGTATATAATAGTATACCTATTTAAATTAGTCTAAATTGGGTTTTTATCCATGAAATTATAGAACTATCTAACATCAGGGTTATAATAGTTAACTAAAACAAAAAACATAAAAAATGTAATTGAAATAAAATAATAAAAATAATAAATCTAATAAAAATGACAAAAACACATAATAAAATGACAAAAATATTAATAAAATTTTAAATGAAAATGGAAAATCTAAAAATAAAAACTAATTTAAAAATGAAACATTTTTATTTCAGGTAATTGCAAAAGTAAAACTAAAAATGTATAGAAATTATATAGATATATTAAAAACAAATAAATAAAGAAATATATGAAAAAAACAGCAAATTGTGAAACCTTCAATAAAATTTAAAATGAAAATGGAAACTTAAAAAAAAAAAAAAAAATAGAAACTAGTTAAAACTATCAATAAAAACTATAATAGCACCTCAATGATGCTAAAATAACACTGATTGACATGAGGATGATCATTATTGGGGGTCCATGTCACACAAATGACTGAAAACCCCTGGGTTTAAATCAGTTCTCCAAAATCCAGCAGATTTCCCTTCAACTGATGCAGAACCTGACACGAGACCAGAGTCAAATACAAACACACGTGTGCAATTCATGAAGGCAATGGAGGCCTGACCCCGGATCAGCACATTTATCATCATCACATCATTACTGTGTTTCAGAGCAAAGCACTTAACCCAGAATGCACTGGGGCGACTCGCTGTCAGTGCAATTACTGCACAAACCCAAGCTCATCCGTGTGACGGAAAACACACCTGCATCGCTTCAACCCTGCAGAAACTAAATGCCACGGCGGAGCGACTCTAATGAGGCAGAACGCTTTTGTTTGGTCCTTTGCGAACGGCACCGATCGCAGCCCTGACACTTCCTTAAAGGCGAGCGCGATGACAGAATGTAATTTCAGAACGTGAAACTGACAGCTTAATTGGTCGCATTTCCACAAATGAAGTTCTGCAACAATGAGTCTTTTGAGCGGCGCTTTGTTCCGAGTTTCCAGTCGCAGAATGAGTCACGCGCTTCTGAAATCATCACAAAACTGAGCACACAATGGAACAGCCAAAATATACCATGCTTCAATAATAGACGGACTGAGACGGCGCTCGCAACACATTTCTCTTCAGTCTTTGAGGGCCTTGCATAATGCAGATGCAAGTTTAGTCACTTGCTCACCAATGGATTCTGAATGGGTGCCGTCAGAATGAGAGTCCAAATAGCTGATAAAACATCACAATAATCCACAGCACTCCAGTCCATCAGTTAACATCTGGAGAAGACAAAAGCTGAAACTAATCCAGCATTAAGACATTTTTAACTAAAATACATAGAGTCCATAATCCATAATAACGCTTCCTCCAGTGAAAAAGTGCATCTGCAGTTGTCTCTCACATCAAAATCCAGCCACATATTAGTTTAGAGCTGTTTAAACGCTGCTTGATCTGTGCAGATTTCTCTCCTGATTCACTTTTTCACTGGAGGAAGTGTTATCCAGTTAACAAGGAACGTTTTGAGAACGTTATAAACAGACATTCTTCCAGTAACATTAACAGAATGAAAGTGATCTGGTTTATAATAATGTTCTCAAAACGTTATTCATACATCATTCGTGGAACTTTGTTTCAGTTGAACGCTCATCTAACGTTTTTTAAATGTTGCGACTTGTTTCAGAAAATTCAAAAGTAACATTCCCATAATGTTTGCAAAATGATACAATGGAATGTTTCCTTAATGTTCGCATAACCAAGAAAAAAAACATTCTTCAAAGGTTGTCAAATCCTAAACACTACATTCTTAGAACATTTTTATTGGATGGATTATGGACTCGTATTTTAGTTAAAACGTCTTAATGCTGGATTTGTTTCAGCTTTTGTCTTCTCCAGATGTTAACTGATGGACTGGAGTGCTGTGGATTACTTGTGGATTATTGTGATGTTTTTATCAGCTGTTTGGACTCTCATTCTGACGGCACCCATTCACTGCAGAGCATCCATTGCTGAGACACTGATGCAATGCTACATTTCTACAAATCTGATGAAGAAACAAACTCATCCTAATCTTGGATGGCCTGAGGGTGAGCACTTTTTTATTTTTGGGTGAACTATTCCTTTAATAACACACAGACTAGAGCTTTAGCGCTGGCAACCCATTTCACTTCCATAACACAATGTATTTCCTAGTTATTCAACAAGCTGTTTCAAATTTAAGAGCAAGTTACTCAATTTAGATGATTATGTAGATATTGTTTTCAATAGAATAACAGCACAAGGAATCTGAATCAGTGTTTTTTCCCGTAAAGGAAACATGTTTTCTCCTGCCACATTCCTGCTGCGTGAGCTTGCTGTGAGTCCAGCGCTGCGGTATGTGCTTCTGTTTGTTATTCCAGTGCCACAAATCCCACAGTCTTTTACTGCCACAGAAACAATGAGAATCCCCTCTGCAGGAACAGCTCAGCGTTTGCTCTTCCACACATCAGATGAGGCTTCATGCGGTTTATACGAGCTCGTATGAACACAACCTCAGATACTTCTCCATTCTGAGAAATAGTCATCATCCAGTAAGAGTTAAGAGCTAGAAAAAGTGATTATAGAGAGAGCGCATCCAGCTGACAAAAAACATATTCTAAGAACGTTTTGCTAACGTTCCCATTAAAGGTATAGTTCATCCAAAAATGACAATATTGTCATCATTTACTCACCCTCGTGTCTAAGTTTCTTTTTTTAATGTTGAACACAAAAGAAGATATTTCGAAGAATTTTGAAGAACCGAACAGTTGTTTGTCCTCATTGACTTCCATAGTAGGGAAAGAAATACTATGGAAGTCAATGGGGACCATCGACTGTTTGATTACCAGCATTCTTCCAAATATCTTCTTTTATGTTCAACATAAGAAAGAAACTCATACATGATGACAAAAATTTCATTTTTGGGTGAACTATCCCTTTAAGTTACAAAAACTTTATTTCTGAATGTTCAAAACGTTTTTTTTTTTTCCAAATGTTTTAGAAATGTTTTTTCTTGGTTATATGAACATTAAGGGAACATTCCATTTTGTATCATTTTGCAAACATTACAGGAACGTTACTTTTGAATATTCTCCAAACATTCCGAAACAAGTAGCAACATTTAAAAAATGTAACATGAATGTTACAGAATGTTCAGAGAACATTCAAAAGTAACGTTCCCATGGCGACTGCATGGAACGGAATGTTCCCGTTCACAAGAAAAAAACTGTACTTCCATTAAGTACAGAAATAACTTAATGGAAACGTTCTTAGAACATATTTTTGTAAGTGGGGTGTGAGATTACTGCGGTCTTTTTCTCTCCGTCTAGTTTCGTTCCTGCGGGAGGCTGTAATTGTTTCAGGGCTCTTTTTTAATGGAATCTCTCGGCTCTGCTGACCTGAACGCCGGTTAACTCCATCGGAAAGTGCCGCTGCTAACAGATCGTGTTAACATGCTCGCTCCTTCAGATCTAAAGGTTATTAGTTTAGATTTATTAGTCAATTAAGAGCGTGCAGAATGTAATACGGCGGCGAAGATGAATGCTTTAGGCTGAAGGAATCGGGACTCACTTCATACTGTTTGATTATGCCGTACGTCTGGAGCGGTTCTCTCCATCTGAGTGCGATCTTCTCCTCGTACGTGCTTCCTTGGATGGACTGCTGCGGAACGGCACCGGGAACTGGAAACACGAGAAAACACAAGAAATGAACAAAAGAGCGAGACACAGAACTGATCAGAGTCTGCTGATCAAACCCGCATTGATTTGAAGAGACTCTGATGTGTTTTAAATCAATATTCTCTTGTATTCAATATGTAATGCTAAGATGAACGGCCTCCAAGCATGAGAAGGATAATTCATCTATTCAGTCAAAGGAATATGGACACGACCCAAGGCCTGCTTGCTGTTCCTTGACCTCTGAGCATCTCTCCAGAGGTTCGAGCTTCAGCCTTGACAGCAGGCTTGTTCAAATGTTCCTCATCAAACACGCTGTTTAAACGGACGCTATTGTCTAGGAGAAATAACGTGACCTTATTCATGATGAAAAAAAAAAGGGTTTTCACAGGGTTTTATTAAAAACAAATTTAAAAGACCAAGAAAATTTTATAAATTAAACTAGAATCATGTCTGAGGCCATAACCAAATCAAAAAACATTTCTTTTATTATTAAAAAAAAAAAAAAATAAAATAAAAAATTATAATAATGTTAATTTTTATCATACGGATATTTTGTGTTTGCAAGAAAATGTATGAATTAAACTTGAATCATATATAATGCTACAGCAAGAAAATTCCAATAATTTTTTTAAATAAATGTCAATGTTTATCATACAGACTCCTAATATTACATTAACTTAAACGTGTTGTTAAGATGAAATTAATTTTGTTTTAGCAAGAAAATTTATGAATTAAACTTGAATTATGTCTGAGGCTGCAGCCAAATCATAAAAAAAAAAAAAAATGTAAATACATTTTTTTACTAAAACATTTTATAAAACTCTTAATATAACATTAATATGAATGTTTTGCTTTTGCAAGAAAATTCATAAATTTGAAATCATAAAACATACCAATGATAATAATAATATTTTTTTTTTAATAAAATGTTTTGTCAATCATTACACGCACACACACACATATTTATATATTATATTATTTAATTTTTTTATCAAAAGTTTTTTTTTCAGTTTTATCAAAAATATCAATGTTTACCATACGGACTCTTAATGTAACCTTAAGATAAATGTTTTTGTTCTTAAAATATATATTTTTTTAAGGGAATTTAAAAATGAAACAAAAAAAAACATGATAATACAGCTAAATCGTAAAAATACCAATAAAATGCAGTTTTTTAAATAAAACATTTTATACAAAATGTCAATGTTTTTCATGTGGACTATTAATATAACATTAAAATGAATGTTTTTGTCTGATGCTGCAGCCAAATCCTAAAAGCACCAATAAAATACCTTTTCATTTTTTTTTAATAGAAGGTTTTTCTATGTAAATGACTCTGAATGTAGCATTAGGATGCATGCGATGACTGACCGTCCTCGTCGGTCAGCACGCGGAGCTCCTGGCTGTCTTTGACTCCCTCGCGGTTGCGCAGCAGCAGTTTAATGCTGACGTTGGTGTAGGGCTGCAAGCTGCGGATGGTGTGCTGCGGCGCGGCGTTCGGAGTATCGTAGCACGTCTCCTCGTGCGTCTCCTCTTTACCGTTAGCCGTGTAGCGGTACTGCACCGTCAGATTGTAGCTGTAGCAGCGCGTCACGTTGTATCCAAACGGCTCCCAGCGCACCATCAACTGCTTGGATTTGATGTCGACGACCTGCAGCCGCCGAGGGCCGTGCATGGGATCTGAAACACAGGAGAACCACATGCACATGCTTAATAAAAGCCTAGAAAACTTCAAATGCAAGAAAAACAACATTTTATCAGTTGCATTTTAAGTTTCATGTAACTCTAAATGAGATCTCCATTGTTTTTGTACCAAAACATATGACCGAAATTCTAAAATAAATGAAAAAAACATATATATATATATATATATATATATATATAGTCCACAATCATCTTCAAGGGTCGTGCATGTGATCTGCACAACACAAGAGAAACGGTTGCATTGTAAACACATAAAAACCTACGATATAAAACACACTATTTTATCAACTGTATTTAGTGTACATGTGTCTGTACCATCTCTACTAGTTATTATAGTTAACTAAAACAATAAATGTAAATAAACAATAGATGTTAAATGAAATAAAATAAAATATAAAAAATTAACCATTTTAGTTTCCGAGGCAACATTTCTCTCTTTTTTTATTTATTTTTTTTTATTTTTATTTGATGCACTAAATTAACAAGCAAAAAAAAACTGAAATAAAAATTATATATAATACTAGTGTTCTAATAATTTTGGCCACCTTTGCATATTTATATATAACCAAAATTTTAACAGTATCTCCATGATACTAAAAACTAAAAAAAACACAGGTCTATACAAGTCATTCTAAATTAAATTTTCATTTTAAATTAAATGTAATTAATCATATATTGATGTTCACTACTTTGATTCTTTGAGGGCTGAGCATGAGATCTGAAATACAGGGGGGGGGGATTTATGATGTTATTTGCTATTTTAATGAGAAATAAAATATTTTGTTTACACAGGATGTGTGTATGTACTGTGCATATTTGTTGAGTATATATTAATACACACATGCATGTATATTTAAGAAAAATATGGTATGTTTATATATTAAATATATTTATATATAATATAAATTTTCTGAATATAAATATATGCATGTAAATATTTTCACAATATATACTGAATGTGTGTGTATTTATATATACATAATATACACAGTTAGTACACATACATATATTATGTAAACAACGTGATTAATCGTTTGACAGCACTAATATATATATATATATACTGTATGTATTATCTTTCTTTCTGGAAGCGTGATGACGGTCTGTACATACAGTATCTCCTCCAGACCGGCTTCATCTCTGATGAAAGCTCTGCTCCTCAGTTCCCTCAGGAGCACCAGCTCCGTAACACCATCAATTTCCATTCTGGGTTCAATCTGAGCAGCATTTCAGAGCAATTCAGCATTTCACACACACTTGCTGGCGATCCGAAGCCCCAGACAGGCAATCTGACGCTCCTGATGAGGAACAGGGAAGCTTAACCTGCTCCGTTCCCACAAAATTGTTTTTTACAGAGACCCGAGCAATCGAGACGGACCGATTACACACAAAACTATTCATAGCAGGGTTTTCTGTAGACCTTTTTAAGACCTTTCTACACTGTAAAGAATGATATGACCAACATGTGTTTCTACATTACTTTAACTCATCAAAATAAGTTAAGCAATTTTGTTAACTTCATTTTTAAGTTGTAGAAGGTTCAACTCCTTTTTTTAAGCCAGTTTAATGTAACATAAGTTGAAATGACTTCAACAGCAAAGTTGATTGCATTTAAATAAGGCAACAATGTATTTTTTACAGTGTAAGACTAAGGAAAGAGAAGTAAGGGAGCACAATATGATCTCTAAATATACATGCTTTGTATTCAAACAATTAATCGTGATTAATCGCATCCAAAATAAGTTTTTGTTTACATAATATATGTGTGTGTGCCGTGTATATTTATTATGTATATATAAATACAAACACATGCATGTATATATTTAAGAAAAATGTTATGTTTACATATTAAATATATTTATATATAATATAAAATATAAGAATATAAATATTTAAATGTGTATAGACGTAAATATTTTCAAAATATATACTGTATATGTGTGTATTTATATATACATCATAAATATACACAGTACACATACATATATATTATGTAAACAACAAATTTTATGTTGGATGCGATTAATCGTTTGGCAGCACTAATGAATATACAACTTCCAACAGATCTCCATTACTTTTTAATTAATTTAAAAATAATAAAAAAAAGTTCTTCACTAGAAAATGGAAATAACTTAATACTGTACCACATTCCTCTTCCTCAGTATTTTTGTCTTGTTTTCCAGTGCAAATGTTTGAAGATTATTAAATCAGGATACATTTACTTATGATGCAAAATGATAAAGTCTTGTTGCATGCAAAATCGATCAAAATTAAGTTAGCTTATGATTAAAAAAAATAAATATCTGTAAAAAAACAAACAAAAAATACCATATGGTGCTGCTCATGTAGTGATTAAAAATTACAAGTTTAATTAATTAATTTATTTATTTATTTCCGTGAAATGCATTCATGTGTTAATCCATGTATTACCTGTTAATACATTTTTGACCATAGATCTGAAAAAGAATTGCCCAACTTCTTGAAAAAAGACTTGAGTTTGGTCTATTTCTAAAGACAGCACTTAGAAAAAAAAGAACTTTTTAAGTTTAACTTTATTTTTATGAAAAATGCACAAAATGCTATTTTTAAACTTTATATTAAATATATTTTCAGAAACATGTTTTACTCTAAAATCTAATCATGTTGTGTTCCAAATCTGAATTTGATATCCCAAAATTCTGTTTGGGCACAGTACCAAACGTTACTACTAGATTAAATTCATTTCCATTCGTTTCTAATGCAGTAATTTTTTTGTGTGTTCACATAGCTATTTACCAAATTCTGTACCATTCTGATAAATTTAAAAATAAAAAAAATAAAAAATAAATTAAATGAAATTAAAAAAAATTTGGGTCAAAAAAGACTGAAGAGCACCTGAGGGTTAAATTAAGATACATTTACTAAAAAGTCAAATATCTGCCAATGGGTTCAAAAAAATCAAGTTAATTAATAGGAAAACACATTTTTATTCCAGATATTTGTTCTTGTTTTAATTTCGTTAAATTTCTCAGAAAAAAAAGACTTTATATTTTTATTTTTCCATCTCCTGTAAATGTATCTTGATTTAAGGATGTTTAGATATTTATGCTGGAAAACAAGACAGAAATACTGAGGAAGATGCAGTGCATGCAACATTTAATGCCACGACTTTATACATTTAAGACTTTTTTTAATGCTTTAAACTGCTCAAGGGTGAATTAAGACTTTAAGACCCTTAAAGAAAGCCTGAAGCTGCGGACGTCAAACGCAGAATCAACCGTGTGTTTGCTTCCCAAAGACCTGTTTTCTGACGACACGAGAGAAGCACAGAGCAGAGCACAGTCTGCGAGGGAAACCAAGCGAGGGCTGATCTTTATTGGGTGCGTGTGTGGCTGCAGATTAAAACACGGCTCTGGAAACACCTTTTAATCAGCGGCTTGTGAGAAACACTGGAGGTGAGAGCTGAACAGACCCGAGACGGGACGCATTCATCATTCAAACGGGCTCAAATCAAGCTCTTTGTGGAGCCTCTCAATTACTTCTCACTCACACACACGCTTAACGAGACAAAGACGGCGTGTTAAACGCGTCCGTAAAAACGGCTCGTTAAAGACGAACTGCCATCCGGTTTTCTGAAGGAAACAGATTGCGGTTCATCTTTAACAAGCTTGAGATAATAGGCATTATCATGTGAGATATCAGACGAGTTTTGCATAAAGGATTCCATTAAACAGCTTGAGATGCTTTGGACAATACGCTCACGATAATCCAATCAGATGCAGAACAAGGCCCAGAGCATTATGGGACGGGTTTGAGAACTAATGAATATATAAGGGATGATGCTGGTTGATTCAGTCAGCTGGTCATATTGATTTATATAACATATTAATGTACATTATATAAATAAATATACAACTTATATAATCTGAAAAATAATATATATGAGTCCAGGGTTATTATGGTTAACTAAGAATAAACCACAAGAAGAAAAAAAAAACCTTCAATTAAATAAAATTAAATTAAATTAAAATAAAATAATTTCTCATTTTCATTTAGTTTGAACTAATGCACTAAAAATAATTAATACTAAAACTGAAATAATGTATAAAAACTATATAGACATTTAAAAACTAACATCAAAAAATAATTACTAAAATTTTAACTAAAATTAAAATGAAAAAAAGAAAATATAAAAACTATAATGGTTATAAAATACGTTTGATATCCACTAGTATAAGTAATTAGTAATATCATAGTAAAGTAAAAGTTTAGTAATAGTAATTTATTTATAAAAAATT